GAGCCCGGTGAGAGTTTCTTGACGACTGGAAGTGGTGTGGGTGGCGGAGAATGAGTCATCCATCATCTGTCCATCGCCTTAGGTTGCTGCTGCTGGTGCAGAGCCCCGTCTCACAGCGCTGAAGGAGCAGTGATGTCACAGTCGTCACTGTTCTCCTCTATCAGAGCTCTTGGCATTCGTGCACTCCAGCTAGAGTGGGATACAATAATAGAATCGAGTGTGTTCATTTAGCCCCCCCATCTCTCTGTATGGCATTTCTTCTTAAACTGCCAACTTTTTTTTCCTTTTTTTTAATCTGCTTCCTGGCAGAGGTTTGTGGATTTACACAGATACACTGAAAGAAGCAATGAAAATTCTGTTGTGGTTCCCAAGAGATGTGGGAACGTCATGTGTCAACCTCAACAGATTAGTTTCCCTCTTAAATCTTCCTTTTCAGGGAAAGTTTATTCCACTGCCGCAGTGTTTCTTAGAACAGAAAGATTTAGGTGTTCTTCAGAAACAGATAACATTACAGGGAGATTAATCGTCTGACGTGTTGTTTTTCACGGGGTGCAGAGTTTGTTTCTTTTTTTAGAACAACGTGGCCCGACTGCGTTCTGAACATGACAGCCCTCATGAATGACTCACAGTGTTAGCCAAACATCTGAAGAAATTACCACCCACATGCTTTTGCAAAAGAAAAAAAAATGACGCAGATGTTCCATTAAGCAACTTTTTATTCAACGTACTGTAGATAAATTTGATACTGCATGAAAGCTGGTGGCTCTAGTTCTGTCAAGCAAGTGACTCATCATTGGATAAATTACCGAGGTTACATAACAACTGTACTTTCTCAGCATATGCCTTCCATTGAAGTGATTTCATCCCCTGTATAAGAAACAAACTGAAACAAACTGGAGACGTCAGCCTGGAGGCATCTTATGGGTTTTGGGTCAGGGATGAGGGTCTTACTGTGTCACTGGAGACAAGTCAAAGTTGTTGTTGTTTCATTGTTATTTTAAGTACAGGTAAATAGCCTAACCATGTTTACACTTGATTTGAGTCATTACTTACACCAGCGGTCCCCAACCCCTGGGCCTCGGACCGGTACCGGTCCGTGAGTCGTTTGGTACCGGGCCGCAAGAGTTGAGGCTCAGGTGTGAAATGTATGGTTTTCAGGGGTTTTATCGGTCTTCAGCGTTATTTTGTTATCGTTTTGATTGTTAACTCGGCTTTCCTGGGTCTTTTCACGTGTGTTATGAATAAATCTCCTTTTTTTTGGTACCAGTACTAGTTTTATTTTGTTGCATTTATCCGCGACACCTTAAAGGCCGGTCCGTAAAAATATTGTCGGGCATAAAAAGGTCCGTGGCGCAAAAAAGGTTGGAGACCACTGACTTACACTGTAGGCTAAAGTTCTGACATATAAGGTTATTTCAGTTAGATGGCTTGAAATACAGCCTAATATTATTAAGGTTTTACTGCCCTCTTCAGGCTTTTGTAATAATGCATATTTACATCCACATTGAGTGTAAATTAATTAATGACCAGTGTGAGCATGTGACTGCCTTTTAATATAAAACAATAAAATAATAAGTGTATTTTTACATCTCCACACAAAAAACTCACCCAAATACTAAAGAAAATACTCAAATAGGTTCAAAGTTCAAGGTTCTTTACTTGTCACGTGCATAGTTATACAAGTGTAACACACAGTGAAATGTAGCCTGACACGCTCCTCGACATGTGCAAAAATGGGGGGGGAGGGGGGGGGGGGTGTAGAGGAAGAACATTATATATATATATAAAAAAAACAAAACACCCAGCACGCCCCTGCGGGCGGTTTATCCTTCAAGCTCGGGTCCTCTACCAGAGGCCTGGGAGCTTGAGGGTCCTGCGCAGTATCTTAGCTGTTCCCAGGACTGCGCTCTTCTGGACAGAGATCTCCGATGTTATTCCCGGGATCTGCTGGAGCCACTCGCCTAGCTTGGGAGTCACCGCACCTAGTGCTCCGATTACCACGGGGACCACTGTTACCTTCACCCTCCACATCCTCTCGAGCTCTTCTCTGAGCCCTTGGTATTTCTCCAGCTTCTCGTGTTCCTTCTTCCTGATATTGCTGTCATTCGGAACCGCTACATCGATCACTACGGCCGTCTTCTACTGTTTGTCTACCACCACTATGTCCGGTTGGTTAGCCACCACCATTTTGTCCGTCTGTATCTGGAAGTCCCACAGGATCTTAGCTCGGTCATTCTCCACCACCCTTGGGGGCATCTCCCATTTTGAAGCAGCTGGATAGCGTAGTGGTTAAACTACACGCCTTTGGAACAGAGGATCGCAAGTTCGATTCCTGCCTGGGGTGTCTGTATCCAGTAAGAGTCCTAAGGGTAGACCCCCTATGCTAAGCAAGCCTACCGCAGACATGAGCGAGACAGATAAATATGAAGGCATGCCGACTTGGACGTCGCCCGGAGCAACAAGGTCCGCGTCAGGTGTTGAGGAACCAGGGCACCCTGACGAAAAGTGGGCTACTGGAACAAGAAGGCATCGGTGGGCAAGGGACGAAAACAGGGCGTTGTTGGAACGCTACTACGCAAGTAACCCCGGCGGAAGGGGCTACATGAATAGGATGAGGGACCTATGGATTCTTCGATACCCAACATCCACAATGACGGCGAAACAACTAGTAGCTCAGTGTTCCAACATTTGAAAGAAAGAATATATATATATATATATAGTATGTACATTGGGTGAATGTGCAGTAGTAGCAGCAAGTGGGTGAATTCTGTACATTAATATGAATAGACATCTGACTATTTTACAGAATAGACAATATAAACATATTTAAAGTTAAAGGAATTGAAATGTACATTGTGCCTTGGTTTAGAGTGTCTGGAAGAGTCCTGTCTCAGTCAATTATAGATGATGTGAGAGGGCGGGTGTGTGTGTTTAGGGCCCGGATGGCTTGGGGATAGAAGCTCCTCTTGAGTCTCTCTGTCCTTGCCCGGATGATGTGGAACCTTCTACCAGATTGCAGAAGTTGGAACAATTTGTTGCCAGGATGGGACGGGTCCTTCAGTATCTGCGCTGCTCTAGTCCGGCATCTCCTGGTGTAGGTGTCCTGAAGCGGGGGGAGAGCAATCCTGCAGCAGCGTTCTGCTGTACGGATCACTCTCTGGAGTGATACATTTGAAATATTCACTCTCCGGCCACTTTATGAGATACACGTTGCTATTAGAGTTGCCTTAATTCTTCATGGCATGGATTCAACAAGGTGCTGGAAACATTCCTCAGAGAGTCCTAGTCCACATTGACATGACAGCATCATAAAGTTGCTGCAGATTTGTCAGCAGCGCATCCATGATGCGCATCACCACATCCCAAAGATGCTCTGCTGGATTGAGATGTGACTGAACACCATTTAAGTATCGTGAACTCACTGTCTTGTACAAGAAACCAGTTTGAGGTGTTATCCTGCTGGAAGCAGCGACCAACATATGGATACACGGTGATCATAAAGCAATGGACATAGTCAGCAACAGTATTCGTGTAGGCTGTGGCTCAGTTGGTACTTAAGGGCTGATGAGCTGATAAGAAAATATACCCACCAGCAGCTGTGGAACTGTTGATACGAGACAGGATGGATCCATGCTCTCATGTTGTCTACACCAAATTCTGACCCTACCATCTGAATGTTATGCAGAAATGCAGCCTCATGAGATCAGGCAATGTTTTTTGAATCTTATATTTTCCAATTTTGGTAAGCTCGTATGAATTGTAGCCTCAGTTTCATGTTCTTACCTGATAGGACTTCGTTTGGTCTTTTGCTGCTGTAGCCCATCTGCTTCAAGGTTTGATGTGTTGTGCATTCATGATGTTCTTCTCCATATCTTTGTTGCAGTGCATGGTTATATGAGATACTGTTGCCTTCCAGCTTCTCCTCTGTTTCTCCTCTGATCTCTGGTATCTACAAGGTATTTTCACCCAGAGATCTGTTTTTTTTTAACCATCCTCTGTAAAAACTGATTGTGTGGGAAAATCTAAATAAATCCGAAGTTTCTAAACACTCACATCAGCCCATCTGACACCAACAGCCATGCTGTTTAAAGTTACTGAAATCACCTTTTTTCTTCCCCATTTAGATGCTCATATTGAAATTTATCTTCACTATCCCTAAGTGCATGGAGTTTCTGTCATGTATTTGGCTGATTATATATTTGTGTTAACAAGCTGTAAAATAGGTACCTAATGGATTGGCAGATGAGTGTATTTTATTTTATTTTTTTTACATTAGACATCACGTCTAACATAAGCTCAAAAACAGACTAACAACTCAAAATGTCCCCATATTTCCATACATCACACCCAAACATTGCAATTTATTCCCAGGACATGCGCTACATGTGAGCACACCCAGAGGTCTTGGAAAAGGAAAATGTGTAATTACTAATAAGTACATTTAAATACTGCATAAAGCAAAAGGTTTCAGTTTGAGAAGTGTCCTAAATATTTGTGTCAAATGGTGCCATTGACAAACAAGTACAGCCACTCGCTCTTACAGATCCAGACCCAACCAGATAAAGGCGGGCTTCATGCATGTGTAAACACTTTCAAAGGCCAACATTTTTGGATGTTATAGATGTTTAATGTATCTATGTTAAAATGCAAACCACTGATACCTTGGCCTTGGCACTGCTTATTGCTCATAGGATGATGACAGTGGTAGCCAATTAACACTGGGATATCCAAGCCAGGAAGGGCAGAGTGAAAGTCTTTCCTCTTTTGGCAGACTCAGTGGGGGTGGCAGATGGTACTTAGACAGGCTAAGCTGTGTACTTCTGTCTCTGTAGAGATTAGAAACCAGGTGCTCCCTTGTAAACGTGACTGCAGGCCAATCAATAAAGCCTTTGTTAAGTTTATCTTCTTTGATTCTATTCTCTTTAATTCTATTTAACCAGCTTGAATTTGGAATCAACTCCAAGATGAAACAACCTCTAGAGGGCATCAAAACATTCCAGTTCAATGGATTAAGTGGTATAAATTTATTTTGAATAATCATTATTCTCCATTTAGGATTTTCTGGTCTTTGGATGATCTTTAGGCTTGTTAGAAAATATGCAACAAAACCCACAAATGATACATCAAGCTATACAGAAAAAAGCAGCTGTGATCAGTGTAATCTCCTCTGTGTGGCCTCAGAGTAAATCCAAGAGTAAGAGTGGCTTAGTAAAGAGTCCCTTCAGACATTGTACAGTGACTGGAGCAGCCAGAACCAGTGCATCCAACCTATGAAACCTGCTTAGAGGCATTTTGGAAATAGACTTTCATAAACCAAGAGGCTCACCAAAGCTAAAAAAAAGTGTGAAGCAGCTTGGTCTTTTATTAATATTGTCAAGAATATATCCCATACATCCCATCATTTAATTCTTATTCATATTGCTTGTTCTTGCTAAGTTAACCCTTGAAGATTTAGGCATGCTACATTCACAAAGGATATTTTGTGAGTTTTTTTCCCCCATACAAGTAGGCTAGCTTAAATAGTTTTATAGTGTTGTCTACATAACTGACAGTTGTGTTTATGGTACAATATTTATTTTTTTTAAAAAAAAGTATAAACCATGTTGTTCCATAAGATTGGACCCTTCTTTTGTTGAACTGTCAACTGAAAGTGTAAACCTTTCTAAATCTGACAGAGCAGGAAGCTGCTGCTAATGCTAGCCAGGGTTCTCAGGAAGTAGCTGCTAATGCTAGCCAGCATTCTAACAAAGTCATTTCCTGGACCAGCTGGAACAGTGGCTGTTTTGGTCCAAGAGTTTTTCCTAACATAATCTATGGACTGGTATTGTTATTTTTTTTTTAAAATAATAATAAAGATACAAAAAAGCATATTTGTCACAGATACAAAGCAGAGTTAAAAGAGCGAGGAAGTATTGAAGCTGGGACTAGCATAACAATTTGGGTTATTTTGACTATAAGTCTAGTGCTGGTGATATTCTGTTTGTAGTGTTCAAGAACCAGGACATATAACATCACTTCTTTTCTTTTGACGGCTTCCCATTGATCAGGCCGGACTCCCAGCGTTGCCAGAGAGAAGCTTTCTGTCCTCCTGCTCGGTGAACTTTTGGCTCCTGCTGTGAGATAAGACGAAGAAAAACAAAAACAACCTGGATTTAGAGTGAGAGATTAGCTCCTGCTTTCTCAATTCACAATCAATTATACTTATCCAAGCATTTCTACAACAAAGAGGATACTTTAAACTTAATGTTTTTCTTTTATTTGTTTAGTATTTGTTTAGTATTACAAAATTTGAAATTCTGAGCTCTGTAGCAACTCTTTTCAATGCTTCTGTATGGAATTCAGTGCAATACACAAAACAGGACCTTTTTATAATCCTCTGTTCTTGCCAGTGTTTAGCAATACATCCAATAGTTTTACAGAACAATGAAGAAAACAGTAAATGTAGAATTAAGGCTTGTTGCAGGTGAATCACCTCTATCTGCTCCAGTTTTATCTGGTCCTTTTTAGAAGGAGGTGGCCAAACCCGCTCCAGTTTCCCCCGTGACTGTTTCCTGCTGTCTGTAGGACAGAAAGAGAAAAAGAACAACTAAGTAGCTCAGTAGCTAAGCTACTATATTTGGTAAGATTAGCAGCTCTCTACTGCTTAGACTGATTTTAGAAGTTTTAGGGTAGTTCTGAGAATCTACACAGTTCTATTGTAATGACAGTAAGTAATTGAGCTTCTTTATTTCCATGCCTTCTAAATGGCTCAGCAAATAGTAAAGATACCAATGCTTTCCCAGACACACGCAACTTCGGTGTCATTCATTTAGCATACTATATGTGTAGCAATCACAAATTCAGCTGGACGCTTGTACATTGCAATGATACCACTTACATATCTAGGAGGGAAGTGAGCACTTTAGAACGACAGATTCTTTCAAAAATGTTTCACAAACCTTTGTTTTTGATATGCACGTAAAGGATTCTAGGCTTATTTTGTATTATTTTTCAAATCACGTTAATATTTTCAGCGTGAAATTTTTTGCTTGTCGGGCTTTATCAGTGTATCTGGGTTAAACAAGTACAAAGTTTCCTCTTGTAAATGTTCAGGGTAACACAAAACAGCTTCTTTGACCTTAGGAATGACTCTTTCTTGCTTCCACATATTACTGACATTTGTAGCTTTGTCAGCATGACCTGGAATCAACTCAATCTTCAACAACAGCTGCTGATGACTAAATTCTAACATGGTGATACTTATTGACACACTCCCTTGATTTCTGAGTTCTCATGCAACAGGAGAAAAAAATGCACACAAGCTACACTTCATATAGTTCTTTCAAATAGGTATTTCAGCGGGCTGAACTGATTTTTATTTGCACCAGGCTATAACCAAACTAGAATTTTCCAGGTAGTGCCATTCATGTTCTCCCTCAGCCAACGTTTAGATCAGACAGCTGACAGCATGATGTGCCCTTAACCATCAGTGACAGGAATGACAGTGAGTTGTTGATAACATGTCTGGGATAAAACTATGTGATGCTAATGTTGAGAAGCATTCATTAAAGTGTTCAGACTAAGTGTCAAAAGGCATGTGGGATGAATAAAGACTGAATTGGCTCTTGTTTTCCCTTGATGGGATTTTAGAGATCTTATGCTTCACATTGTCAGCAATGTTTAGCTAAATGAGCAAATTAGGTTAGAGCTCATGCAATTGCTTATCACTGATGGAAGGCACTCACATGTCAAATAGTTGTAGTCAAGTAAAAAGTATATTTTTCTGTGAAAACTTTGGAGTATTCTTTAGTCGAGTAAAAGTCAAATCATGCCAAAATTATATTATATAGTAATGTTCCTCAGTAAATAGTATAAAAAGCTGTCCTTAACCTCCTAGGACTTGGCGTCCATATATGTCTAGACTAAAATACAAAATTTTGCTCTACAAGGGCCTGATATCCACTTACGAGGACATTATACTGCCACTATTCTATCGAAATTTAAAACAAATGTCCTCATATGTGAATGTCATTTTTCTCAGAAACAAAAATCAGGTAAAAGAAAATATGGTAATTCTTTGTTTTTACAATTATCAGGTCCCAATCAGCCCAAATAGCATAAAGAAATTAAAAATGCATGCCATGAAAGTTCAGGTCTTAGGAGGTTAAGAACTTTGCTAAGTAGTATAAAACTGATGTTAAACAGGTGCAGACTAACCTGTTGGGAGTGTTTGTGACTTTTGTTCATCTTCACTATTCTGTCTCTTCTCTCCATACAGACTGCGTCTCTGCTTGCGCAGCTCCTCTTCTCTTTCTTTGGCTTCTCGGATGTCCTTCTCTACCTCTGGTTGTAGAGCCAGGGCTGGGCGCAATTTGAAGAATGGGTTTTGCTTGAGGATTGAAGACTCTTTGTTTGCATTTGCTGCCTTTGCTTTACCCTCCACAGCTAACGTAGAGAAGTCATTGCTTATAGAGTCCATGCTTCTGTACAGGCGAATGTTTTTGTCTTGTTTTGGGTAAGGGGATAAGCGAGTTTTGTCTCGTGACCCTCCAGTTGGGCTCTTTGATCTGATGCTGTCAGGACTTTTTTCCTTCTCAAGATTTGCAGATTGGTACAGCCTGAGGGAATGTGCTCTGGAAACAGGACAAGTTTTGAGGGAAAACATCTCAAGGCTACGTGTGCGCTCTAGCACTGAAGGGTAAATGTGACCTTTCCTCAGAGTTGTGGGGGATTTACGGTGTCTTGTTGGACCCTCCGGATTGTCCTGCTGGAAGGCTTCAAACAGCAGTTTTGTCTCTTTTAACTGGCGGATCTCTCCTTTGCTGTACCCCCCTGGGATTTTACCTTGATTGACCAGCACTAGTTCTCTCTGAATATCCTGACTTATCTCTTTGAGCATCTTCTGTTCAGAGAATTGCCACTCGTTGCATTGGCTTGTACCTACCTTGGTAGTGAGTGACTCAAGAGAGATATCTGTTTTAAAGGGAATCTCCAGCACATCTGGATTTTCTGCAAGATTGAAAACACCTCCAGCTCTCTGCAGCTTCTGCTTCCCCTGGGCTGCCTCATGGAGCTGCCTCTCCATGTAGGTTTCAGCAGCTGAAAATCGGTGTCCAGTGGAAAGAAATGGAATTTCATTAGAAGTTTCATGAGGATTACTGGGAGTCAAATCTGTAGGCTCCCAGCTATCACTCTGATTGTCATTAGAGTCACTCGGATCTATTCTGACAACCCTCTGGTCTTCTTCTGACTCTCCTGGAATTGTGGATGAAGATGTCCTTGCTCTTGTTTGAATGTCTTTGTCCTCATTATTTTCCTTTTCCATCAGGCTCACCTTTTCTTCATCTTCCTTAAGAGTTTCGAATCTGCCTTCTTCCCTCTCTTCTTCACTAGGTATATTCTCTGTTTCAGTCCCAAACATGCCCTTTTTTTCATCCATCATGACAGCCTGCTGTTGGGTATCAGCGTTCTCTGACATTTTCACATCATGTCGTAGCTGTACCAGCTGCAGACGATGAAGCAGTTGCTCACCTTGTTGGATATCAGTAGATATTTTCCTGCTTCCATCCTCTTGCTCCCCCATTGTCTCTCTTTCTTCAGAACCTTTGGAACTGGATAGCACTTGCATTTCTGTGCTGCCGCTTTCTTTCCTCACACAGTCACACTTTATGAGGTTATAATCCAAAGATGTACGGTCATCATGCTCTTCATTGTCTTTGTCCGTATCTGTTTGGAAGTCAGCAGCCTGTGCCTGACTGGTTGCTGTATCGGTCCTGTTTTGGTTGCATTTACAGAGCTTGAAATCATCATCGGAATTTGCCTCCACACTCTCGATAGCTATACTTTCTCTTAATAGTTTTAAGTCTGTTTCATCAAAATCACCAATGTCCTTGTGTTTTATTTTGTCTCCGTCTTTGTCTAAATGGATCTGATTCTCAGAGTCTTCTCTGTGGTTTGAATGTGTTTGTTTTGGGTAACTGTCTTCCTCCGTATTGGCTTCCCAGCAGTTTCCCTGTTCTTCACTTATAATTACAATGTCCTCTGGTTTGTCATTCTCTGTTGCGTTATTCCCGTAAGGTCTTCGATCTGTATCATAACCAGTTTCCATCAGACAACCAGTCACATCCATGGATTGTTGTTCTTGATAAGTTGGTGGAGAGGAGTCTTGTTCATTGGATATGTTGGCCATAGACAACTGCACTGCACTTGCAGTCACCTCTTCATCCAGCTCGTTTCGTGCTACCATTAACTGCTCCTCACTATGAGACAAGTCTAAGCCTCTTGGATTAGCTTCAGCCTCTGTTGCGTCAACTGAAAGGGTCACACCAGACTTACTTGCTGTTGCACCTGTGCTTTTCTCTGCTGGCAGCGATGTAGCCGTGCGAGGTGGAGGAGGTGGTTGAGGGATGAAGACATCATCTGCACCTTCATCATCCATCACACTGTAGTACCTCATTATAGCAGTGGGAGCAGCAGAGATCGTTGTGATTTTGTCTTCAGAGGTCGCTGAAAAATTCTCTGTGTGGTTGCTCACATGGTTTGAATCCATCTTCATCCACAGACCACTGTCATCATCAGAAAGTAGAATTTGAGGGCTGCGTCTAGGACCTCTTGCTTCCATGTTGAAACGTCTTTGAAGCAGTTTGTGGTGTTCTGTCTGCGTTGCCTTTTAATAAAATTTAAATAAGAGACACGAGTGTCATTGAGGCTTATAAGCGTCAGTGCTAGTAATTGTTATTATTATTATTACTGCTGTTAGAAACTATAAGAAAGAAAGAAACTAAGAAAAGGCTAAGAAAATGCCTTTTTAGTTAACATTATATCTGCGACATTTGGCAACGATACGGTATTATTGTACAATGCATTGTCTAATTTTACTATTTACAGAAACCTCTAGTGCATTATCTGTTAAAAACAGTGTACTAGCAGAAAATTACCAGTGTGTGATGTGATCTTTGTGCAGTTTTTCTTTCTTTCTTTCTTTTTACAGTGCAGTATAGCATTTCTTTTTGTCTAGTAACAGTACAGTAACTGAACCTTAAAGTTCTTAAATTAGATTTTGATACAAGGAACCTGATAATACAGACCTCAGGATAAAGCTATACATTAGGACTCATCCACACAAGTGCCCTGTGTTGCCATATTGTCTGCGGTTGTGCACCAATTATTGCAAAAAACCCCAAAACAAAACAAAAGAAAAAAAACACAAAAATTTTAAGATGTGTAGCAACGAAGGCAGTGAAAAGTGCAAGTTTGGCTTTGACAATAATGAGTAAAGGATGACAGAGTTTCACACACTGAAAATGAAACCCTTTTTATTTTATATAAAAGGACTATGGGGTACTATTAAAACCTTTTCAAGTAAGCACTACTTAGGTGGTCGATGTTCATAACAAATTCCTGGTGAAATTAACTAAACTGTGTCTTCTTAGTTTTGATATATGACCAAAAATCTCAAAATGTAGGATTTGTTTAGCTGCTGATCTGGTCGGGATCACAACAACAGCAGGCTTAAAATGGACCAAAAATAGAAATACGTTTATCCGTCCATCCATTCATTTATACTTCCTGTTTTTTTCTGTTTTTGTTTTTAAATTACTTTGTGTTTTGGTAGCTTTTCTCTCCTATTCAGGTCAAGTACAGACGTTTCTTCTGACAAAGGAAAAAAAGTAATGTCATCATAATGCAAGTCTGCCTTAAATTCTGATTTATCTTCATTCTGTCTGAACTCATCAAGCTAATTTCTGACAAGTACTGTGAGATGTTTGCAAATAGAACCTCAACAGCTATTTAAACACGTATTGTACATTTACTCTGAACATCACACAATAATTTGTATAATTATTTAATAATTCTTTTAAGACATGCTTAGATATGGAAATGTATGTCCTGGCATAATCTGGTTTATTGAGCTGCAGGTTTTAAATCTAAGAGTCTATATTTACACCTGTATTCAGGGGCTTAATGCCAGCCACACTGCAGTTAAGGATTATCAACAGCAGTAACACCACGCTGTTTATAAAGCTCAAGCAACAGGACATATTAATGCACCTTAATGAGCTTAACCTATTTATTCCACCGTGCTTTAGAGGAACACTTTCCTTTCTATCGTTGCTGTGAAGAGTTTTGGAGATCTTTTAAATATTATAATAGTCTGAATATTGTAGTTATTTGTAGTTCTTTAAAATACCTCCTTCTCCTTAAGTGACTGTGTAACATTATATGGAATTTTGTAATTCCATTATCCACTATATGATTGGTAGTTATTCCTGTAGTATGGATACACTCACACACAGTCAGCTGTTCTTACTCATATTTGTGCTGTGATAATATGACTTCAGCTTTATCTATCTATCTATCTATCTATCTATCTATCTATCTATCTATCTATCTATCTATCTATCTATCTATCTATCTATCTATCTATCTATCTATCTATCTATCTATCTATCTATCTATCTATCTATCTATCTATCTAAAGATCTACTATCGAAACCTGTCACTTTATCAAAGAAAGAAATTGAGACAGATAATCAAACCGAACAAGTACAAAGATTTTTGCATCACACAGGCATTTTAAAAGAAGAGACTCACCTGATTGCAGTGCTGTGGTCTTCCCCTGTGCGTGATAGTACTAACCTCAATGGAAATATGAATGATCCAGCTCATCTTCTTAGCTCATGTGCCCTTCTCTACTCTATGTCATGTGAACAAACAAAATCCGCATCTTTAAGCAGCAGCACACAGTTCAAATGACCTGCAGTGAGTGAGCCCAAAGAGCTGAATGACCTGCTGCAAAGTGAAAATATGGAGTCTGACTCTTGGTAAATACTGTCGTTGGTCCTACACAGCAACCCCCCACTCCCCCAATGTATGTAATGTAACAGAATGCTTCATGTGATTTTTACACAACTTTGATGAATTAACATCAAAAAAGTCATTTTTTAAACAGAAACATTTTGCTTCTTGCAAAAATACTGTAGATAACTTATGATTAGTTCACAGATATGCAGTGTTTATTTAGTTGATAAAACTGCTAAAGACTACTTTAATGCTGTAAATACAAGAATTAGATGAAAGCAGTGCTTTCCCCAAATGTCATTATGTAGTGAATGTAGCTTGGCTATCTAGCAACAGCATTTTTCTTTCTTTTTGTTTAACACATTTTTATATGAAGACTGCTATAACATGAACCAGCGCTAGCAAGATGTGGCTGATAGATGGAGGATGATAGTAAAAGTTTGAACTAATATTTGATCAAAGCTACCCAAACTATAACCCAACAGAATTATTCAAGCTGGGGAGTTGATTAAAGAACCTGACACATCGCCAACCCAACTCAAACTTTTTGATCTCCATTTCTTTGCGCTCATTTTCCAGTTCTTTTCTTTGAATATTTCAGCATTTCCTCCAGTTTTCCAGATTTTTCTTGCAATCATCCTCTATTTCAATGATCATGTGTGCATCTTTTAACTTTGTTTCCAGTTCTGATACTTCCAGATGGATCTTTTTCTCCATTATTTGGTGTTCGAGCTCCAGCTGTTTATTTTTTTCCTCCAGCTGTGCATACTGACTTTTTATGTTCTCCGGCTTTTAAGGCTGCATACATTTCTCCTGGAGCTGATGTTTTTTCTGCAGAAGTTTATCCTTCTCCTCCAGATCTTTGTATTTCTGCTCCAGTTCTTATCTCTTCCAGATGTTTCTTACTCTCAAATTCCTTCTGCTCCTTGAGTACTTCAACTTGGATGTGTGCATCATTAACTTTAGTCACATCTGCCTTCTGTTGCTTCAATATTTTCGTTTTCGTACTCCAGCTCTTTTTTCCCTCAGGTAGCTTGCATTTGCCCTCCATTTCTTTAATAAAATCAGAAAAGGTGTCTACGTGAATGAAATTTCTTCTTTCATTCAGGAACCCATTAAGGTGACCCCATATTATTTACGATCTGTCCCGGTGGTTGTTACTCCATGGCTGAACACATGAAGGAATTTCTCCCATTCCAGTACAAATTGCTGGTAAAGCTAAGCTAAGCTAACACAGCCGATTTTGGTTCTCTGAGTTAAAGCACATGCATCAGATTAAAGGGGGCCTCATAAATTGAATCTTTGTAATGTCAGACTTGGAGTCCCTGTTTTTCCTGATTGAGCTGTTTACAGGTGTTTTTTTTTTTTTAAGATAACCATTCATTTACAGACCACTTCTACTAGATTACTTGATGTTAAAGAAAATGTAAAATTCTGATGATTCTCCAGCAAGTTCTGTATTGGCCTTTTCCCTCTGATTTCCCAGTGCATTATGGGACAGGAATGAGAAATTTCTATCAGCAGTGTCATATTTACCTCATTTTGAGTTCATGCATGATACAGTTTTTGGTTTCTTGTTGTTGAACAAGCAGGGATATCAAGGTCCACAGGGGATATGAAGGTCGGGATTCAACATTGAAATACAGTCAGACCCACTGACCCTACAGTCTGTGGCTAACAGTTAATGATTCCCTGTCTTACTTATGTGTAGTGAAGTTCTTCTTTGGCAGCAGAGTACTTCATATTATCTGTGGGTCAGACCATTGGTTATGGCCACATCACAATCTTCTGGTGGTGTTGTGTTGATGTTTGCATCCTACTACTGACTGAACATCTGCCAGTTTTGGAGGATGCAGTTTATGCTGGTGTTTCATTGTCGTACAAAGAAAGGATGGGTCCTTGCATGAAATTTATGCACTCTTTCACATGTGCTTGCAGCCTGTAGGTTGGTTGATTATGTAGACATTTGCAAAAGGGTTTTTTTTTTATTATCACCATTTAAACTGTCATTCACTAAAAAACAGGGCTACCAGGTTATTGACATCGAAGCATACCATTGACTATGGATCCATACAAATTTATGTGGGTTTTTTTTTTCAATTCACCCTCATATCAATATGTAGCAACAGGCTCCAAATGCAAATGTATTATCATAAACACACTCTTTGCAAATTTCTACTGTTCTTCAACTGTTCATCAGTTCCTTCCAACCTCGTCTGTATTTGAACGAGATCTGATTCATGGGACTGAAACATTCATCTGATTCATCACGATAGTTTAGGAGTGTACAAGTAGGTCTTTTTTGTATGTGTGTGATTTTTGCACCAGGTTCCTAATGGTTTGATGATGGCATTATAAAGCAAACTCATCATTTCATGATTCGTCATTTGACCACAATGCTGCAGGCAAAATACTGTTACTCTGATAACCTTATTAAAATAAAGGTTTAATGCGTTTTTTTAAATGTGATCTTTAATTAACAGCATATTTTAAAAATGTCCATCCATTAATTTCATGTGGTAAGAAACATATTACATATGACAGCAGCTTGTTTTAACTATAATAATAATATCATAATCAAGGTTAACCATTTTAAAATGGATTTTTCTAAGTTAAATCCAGCAATGTAATTAGTGCACACTTTTTTTTTACAGTAAACTTCTGTGAAATATTTCATATTTGAATGTGAAGTTATTTATAAAGAATCATATTAAACTTACTATGATCATAAATTAACAGTATATTACAATGGGGAATTATATTTTATGGTGTTAAATAAAGATAAATCCAATCATTTCATATGTGGGCTTACCTTCTTTAAATGTGAAGATCTGTTGTTTATTCAACATTTTGATGTAAAGTTACATTTAACAGCTTATGTAACATAATAGTCTCAAATTAACTGGATATTTTCATAATGATAAACCCATTTGCTAGTTTATAAACTTGATTTTGACATTTTTTGAACATATAAATGAAAGTATGCTGCCATATTTTATCCTGTTAAATATGCATCAAATGTACAAGATTTTTACATTAAATTACACAATAATCGAACTAATTAAAGTATTTTTCTGCAACTTTACACCTGGTTAATTGTACTACAGCAGTGGTCAGTATTTGTTGTTGGTGTAATTACTGTTTTTACACACGTAAACACCTTAAATAAAGGAAATTTTAGAAATACAAAGATGTCACGTGAATTAAAATTCACAATTTAAAGTCGTGATTTTAAAAGTCACAAAACTGCGCTGGAAAATCTCCATTTTAAAAAAATGCATTTCGGTGTATGATACAGAAGCAAATATGGGAGGTCTGCATGTTTACTGCTTTAGTGTGAAATTGTGAGTACATCTCAAATCTAATTGTAAAACTCGATCACTACACCAACTGGAATCTGTCATATTACAACATATCCTGTTTAACATCCACTGCCATAAATCAGTGTTATAGCTAAATTCAGTGAGAAAAAAAAATCAAACAAAGGTCAGATAAAGACAGTGATTTCCAGATTTTCTACAGTGAATATACAAGAAGAACATGTTGTTCTTCTTGTATTGCCAATGTGGTTTTAAAGTGTTTCAAACAATTCTAGAAGTATTTTTAATGTATATATCAGTTCTAAAATAGTGAAGGCATAGTTCAAGATGGTGGGCGGTATACTATTTACTTTCTTTCCCCAAGAATTAGATGAGACGATCAGTGCCTCAGAAAAATATTAGACAAATTCTACAAACCAATTTTCTTAACTTGGCATGAACGTGAAACCAACAAGCCAAACTGCCAGGAAGTTTAAAAAAAAAAATCTGCCAGCCAGAACTTCTAATTAACACCTAATCAGTGTTTGAAACTGAGAGATAAAAATGTCTTGTTGCCATGTCAGCGAGGTTATCTGCAGCCCGAGCGCAGCAGTAACCAGATGCTGGTTTTAGTTTCACAGTGACTGCACAGACATTAAAAAAGTGTAATGTTTCTCATGTAACTCTGAGCAAGAATGAGATAATTTCTCAAAATGTTAATGTTTGGATTTTTACACAGAAATGGTGAATCTGAATCCGTCTTAAGAAACTCAACGTGTAAAGGTGATGCATCAAAACACAGAAACACTCAAAATCTCAGGCCTCAGTTGCAGGGTATTTTTCATACCAGAAACAGTGAGGGACACCATAAGCATTAAGATGTGCATGCTAAAGGATGGAGTAATTTCCCCACCCCATTTCTACAGGAACCATGGCTAAACATTTAGTGTGGAGTTTTTCTCTTGGATAAGCTTGCTTGCTTGAAGTTCTTATTTCTGTCCAGTAGGGGGTGGAAGTGGACTTTAGTTCTCAGCTTTGTAGAAGCTGCACAAATATATAAGTGCCACTTTTATTATCAAGGGGAGGTGAAATGGTGGGTGATGGTTTAGTATGCTATTAAACCCACTCATATAAAGCAACATATAAAGGAAGCAGTGTATACATGGTATACAGGGAGTCTTTCTTCAACCATTTCTTACATGACAGAGCAACACCGGCAGCTCCTGTGCGTAGAACTGCCTTTTCCCTCTGTTATGCCTGGTGGAGATGTATTATGTGACTCTTTATCACCTTCCTCTGCCTGCACATCGATTCCAGCTCCGTTTCCACCCGAGGGAATAACCTGAACTGCTTCATCTTTGGACTCTTTCCCGGTGCCTTGCTCTGCTACCTGGTCTAATGGTGAATAAAGTGGAGGAGGCATTTCAGGTCCTAAGACATGCTCTTCTCCATCCTCCGTGATTATCACTCGTTCCACAGTGATCATGCCTTCCTGCTCCTCTTGGCTCTGACTCTGGTCTGTTGTAGCATCAGCGTATCCCAAGAACACAAGTGTGACAGGACTTTCCTCCAACATCTGATTCTCCACAATATCTACTTTTTCCAAAGTGTCTCTCACTGCCATCGTGTTTTTATCATCTGTGTTTCCCACATTTACAACACACTTCTCACTGCTCAGCTCAACTTCTAAATCATCGCTTCTAGAGCCGCCGAATGGCCTGTAGTCTTCCTTTGATGTGCTGGGATGGGTATGAAGCGACAGGCCTTTTTTCTCTGAGCCTTTGCTAGCTTCTACTGTCTCTGTCTTGGTTGGTGTGACTGTGACTTCATTCAGCAGCACTTTCATCCCGACCCCATCGATGACACTCAAGATCTGCCCGAGCTCTTTTGACGAGGGTTGATCTGCTGACCCACTGATAGTGTGGATGCTCCTCCTGCCGTCGTCAAAGACAGTGGTAGCCTTTGGAGCACCAGCTGGTGTGGACACAGGAGCCACTGACCTAACGATGGTGGCACCTGTCTTGGGGTCCCGCTCTACCTGCACCTCCAACATTCCCAGGACTGCAGTCACAAAAGACAAAGTAAAATGCTTACAGTGAGGCAAATCAAAAGGCCCAGTTATAATTAATGATTCATATTGATCTAATTTCAAGTCATTCACAGACTATGTGAGACCTTTATTTTTCCTAACAAAACTGCTTTTAAATGTTTCATAGGCCTGGGTGTTAACAAAAAGTGAGAAAGTACTAAGGTCAATGCCAGGTCATGAAACAGAGCTTTTGTGTTACTAATGTGAGCCGGCACAACAGAAATTATAGGGGCACAATGAGCAAAATGTAGCACGCTTATTCTCTACACACAGCCCTCCAGTGGGCATTAAAAATTAACCAACAGAAATAACAAGAAGGCTAAATATAACATTGTTCCCAGGCCTTTCACTGCAGTCCCTTCATTAAGTCGTATCCTGGGGGCTGAACTTGGACGGAGCAACATTAAATAAAGAGGTCATCATTTCCAAGGGAAGGACGAAGAGGGAAATACAAATAACTGAGGATAGCCTTTTGCCAAAATTTAGGTTTATCAACTTGTACAGTTGGCATTTTCACTGGTAAACATTTTTGTCATGCACACTTCATTAGCATTCACAAAATTCCATCATCGATAGTCCATTCCTGTGTCTCACCTGATCGGCCATCTTGCCCACCTTCATTCAACATCCTTTGCGCCATTAGTACAGAAAAGGGACCCACAGGCAGTTTGTTCCCTGAGAAAGAAAACATAGACATGGAAATAACTGTATTTTCAGTGCAGTGTACGCACAGAGTGTTTTTACTTGCTTTTCTATTTGATGTTAATGAACACAAATCACCTGACTGACAATGTCTTCATTAAGGATGTCATTTGTGCACTATCTATATTAATAGACACAGTTATTACTGAGACAAAGTGATATAATGAACATGTGCCCAACACTGCTAACAGTTTTCCATTTATCATTACACTGCTCACTCACAAGATTAGACGCGCATAAAAAGAGTGTGGAGGTTTCAGGATGACGTGCGCAGACGAGTTTTGACAGTTCACAAATTTGCTCTCACAACAACTGAAGGAGCGATAGCAACACCCCTTTTCATAATATAATAATAATAAGAAGAAGAAGAACAAGGAGAAGAAATACTTTATTTATTCCAATGGTTGGGATAAATAAAGTATTGTTACATGAAAAACAACTTAGCTCAAACATAGTATCTTGTAGTTCTTAAATACGTTTACTAAGGGATGAGCTCAGTTAAATAGAGAATTGAGGTACTTTGACTGCGGCCTTCCCAAGGGGTCATCACAGCAGATGGATCTGCACAGATTTTCCTTCCTCCTACTCTGGAACAGAACTTCCCGTTCATCTAAGCCAGGGACGTCAAATTATTTTACACTGTGGGCCACTGGTTCAGGCCAGTGAAAGTCCACTTTTAGTCAGTGTAAAGAACAACTACACATTTATTATTTTTGTTTTTTTTTAATAAAAAAGAACAACATTTCAACAATACAGCTCAGTTTCTGCACACGATAAAGATGGGCTTAAATTATAGGAAATAAATGTTTAAAATTATAGGAATATTTCTCTACCCTGTAATTATAATCCCATAATCCACAGATAAATCATACATTTCTTCAGTAGATAGTGTAGATTTTAGATAGTGAAAAAACAGGAACTTTCTGTTATTTTATTGTTTTAGTGTACTTGCTTATTTATACCTATTTAGTGTCCTATGAATACCATAGAAGAGGAGTTTATCAGTGGGAAAAGCTGTAAAACTTAAGAAAAGCCGTCCAATGGGCCTGATTGGAGCCAAAGATTCTGGCCCCTGGCCCTTATGTTTGACACCACTGGTCTAGGCATACATTAGCTTGTAATACTCTAAGGGTATTGTGTCTCCTCCCAGTGATGGTGCAAGACCTCTGCATAGTGCTGAGTATAAATATAGGCCATATCTTATCTAGAAAATATACAAGAAACAAAAACAGAGATTAAAAAAAGCCTTTAAAATCGTTGATTTCTTTTCTCTTTTCTCTTTATGATTTATTTATTTCCCTGGAAACAACATGTGAGTAAATAACAGGAAGTTCCAATTTTCTCCTTTAACATAATTAGGGTTGATTTTTTGTATGCATCTGTCTGTTTATTTATATCTCAAACACTAACATCACTCATATATTTCACTTAGTGTCAGATGTTCACTGCTTCATATCAGGGCTGGATGTGCTTTTATAATGTATACACTCTTTTTACTTCTGTGTCCCTCCCAACTCCATAGAAGCTTTGTTCACAATGTGGAGATTGGCCAAAAAGTGCTGTGATAATGGTCTTCTTGTAGCACACAGAGTCAGAAGGAATTTAAGTAATGTTGTTACGCTCAAAGTAGAGCTCTTTCTCAGCCACGGCTCCATTCTGTCACACAGACTTAGATTATTATTCTTCAGGCAAAGACTTAGTTATGGCAAATTATCATCTGCCAAGAAAGAATGGTTTCTAGGCAGGCATAGTGATGAAAAGTGACAAAATATGATAGCAGCTGATGGTAAGCTAATGGCGGCTACGTGCAGCTGACTTCTTACCTTGCACGTCCTTGTCAGTGCCAGCCTGTGGGTAAAGGGAAGAGACTAATTTAAGTACTCCCCATGGTCAGACACTCAAAGCAGATACTGAGTCTGCAACTTTAAACTCATGCCTCTGCCCCTCGCTTTCCCGAGCCCTCCCCAGTTTGTGCCCTGCTGTAAATATTTCACAGCCATCGTCAGAGAAGTGTTGAATCAAGTTTAGTTCCATCAAGTTAAAAGAAGCTGAGACTGTCTTGCCCAACAACCATTTCATGCCTGATACTGGCTGTCAGCATGAGACAGAGCTAAATGTGGGCTGGACCGCACAGTGGAACATTTGGTGGAGGCCAGAGGTCAATAAATACGACACATTTTTTGATAGAAGAAGAAAATACATGCTAAAATGTATACATGATGCTAAGGCATTACATTAGTACAGCTTGCATTGAAAAACAAGCAGGATGTTGTCAGTATTTACCTAATTTCAGGTAAAGGTCTTGTTGCTCCTGTAAATATATTTAATTACTCGCAAAAACCTATCCTATGGATATTTTATTGCTAGGCCTACAGTGCTTGTCCACTTTGCTCATGTATGGAAACTCAGACATGTATGTTAATGTTATCATGTTATTATTTTTATGTTCATTAAATCCCAAAGTGCCACTGCACTAAAAACTGTTTTATTTACAAAAAACAGCATATACATAATGTGAACAATATACACATACATGTAACGTACACGTATTGTGAACAGTGTACATGTATGTTTTGAGATCAGCTAATTAGGATATGAGTGTTCTAAAAATAATTCCCATAAGCTTTAACGATGTGTATTATCCTGGTACCCCAGGCAGTTAATATAATGTACTTCCTCCAGATTAATTAATGTGTCTAGGAGGAGTTAGGTAAGAGATATAGATATAGATGTACAGACAATTTAATATTTTGTATCAGGAAAAGAAAAATGTCAAATTAAAATTAGTGGTGTCAGCGTTAATCTCATGGAGATTTGCCACGTTAATGTGGTTATGTCGTTAACGTCATTTTAACGAGATTAACGCTGACAGCACAAATTAAAATATGAAGTTACTGTTGTTGTTGTATATATGTAAATGCTTACTCAACCTAGGGCACATCTTCCTATTATACTTGAGAGCAGCTTGGTCATCTGGCTGAAGCCGTGCAGTCACTAGAGTCTGTGTTTTTTTCTTAAGAGACCTCTTTTCTGGCAACCGCTGCCCCCTCTGTCTCATCCTCAGGCTTCTTTTGACTTTTAGTTTGTTCCCTGACACACATGCACACACGCACACATTGTCGTAGACATCATGTGTGTCAACACAAAACGACACACATTAGAGCTCATAATATAAATGATTCAGAGCAGTGGACACTGTGTCTGTGTTTATGTCGTACGCCCTAGGCTTTAATCCATCACGTCAACTGTCACATGGCTGCCTTCTTTTTGAACTCATCATGGCTAGCAGAGCAGTGGGTCTGTGACAGAATACTGTATGCTTCATGGCAAACATTCACATCTTTAGAAAACGATGAGTGTGAGCCAGTAAAATGTAGATTATGTTGACTCGTTAACTTTGACACAGTCAAATCAGTGATTCGATCAACTGCATCTGAATGAAACTGTTTAAATGTGGCTGTGTGTTCAGCAGCTTAGCACAGGACTGAGCTGAAAGCTGTAAATTGCATGAAGGACAGGAGGTGGAGTTGTTTCACTGAGCCGCTGGCCTCTTGTGAACTTCCTCTGAAGAAGGATGTCGAAATAAGAGTCAAGGAAAGTTCAAACTCAGAAAATCAAGAAAACGAAGCAGAAGGACAGAGCTGGAGGAGAGGCGGCGAGGATGGGTCAGATAGGAGACTAGAGTAAATGTTGGGAGATTGTATCTGCAATAATCATGAACGGATGTTTCAGCAGATAATTTTTTTTAAATAATAATAATAATAATAATAATAATAAATTTTAATTTTAATTAAAAGGCACCTTTGGTGACACCCAAGGACACTTAACAATAAAATAATAATAGAGATGACAAAATGAAGAACAATAGAAACAAAGTGCAAGATAAAATTAACAAACAGTGTTTTCACAGTGAATATGCAGATTTGAACAGATGAGTTTTGAGTTACATTTAAGCTGGAGGAGAGAACCAATGTTTCTTATATCTGGGGGTAGAGAGTTCCACAGTCTGGGAGCAGAGCAACTGAAAGCAAGAATAGATGTAGACTGGGTGGAAAGAGGAGGACGTAATCTGTTAATGCTGCGTAGATGGAAATAGGCAGTGAGATTATTGATGTGCAATTTATAGGATAGTGAACTGTCTAGGTAAGATGATACCTAGGCTCTTAACCTGAAGTGAAGGGAAAACTGTGGAGTTATCAATAGTGAGTGAGAAAAGATTTGCCTTCAAAAGTTTGTATTTAGTTCCAATAAGGAGATTTCAGTTTTATCCTCATTGAGCTTAAGAAAATTAGAGCTGAACTAGGATTTTAATTCAGATAGGCATTCTGTAAGGGAAGAAGTTGGGAGGGAAAAATCAGGCCTGCAGGAGAGATATAACCGGGTGTCATCAGCAAAACAGTGAAAGTGAAGATCCAATTTGTGGAAAATGGTACCAAGAGGGAGGATGTAAATTATGAAGAGAAGAGGGCCTAAGACTGAATCTTGGGGTACACCAGAAGTGACTGAGAATAGACAAGAGCAAAATAATTTAAGTTGAATAAACTGGGAGCGGTCATGGAGATATGATTGGCACCAAGCTAGGGGTGTGTCAGAGATGCCAAGAGAGGAAAGTCTGCTTAGACACAGCTTATATATAAGCAGCTCAAAATAATTAAAGGAGCACTATGAGAAAAATCAGAGGTCAGTGAATAAAAAAAGTCCTGGTCAAGCAGGTTTTCTATCAATTGGAAGGTCAGTAGTTTGATCCCTGGATATTCCAGTCTTCAGTTTTAATGTATCCTTAGAGAGAATACTGAACCTGCTTCATCTATTAGATATATTTGAAATAAATCCTTAAATATTAAAATAACACCTTTAAACCACTTAAATGTTTTGTCTAGATTAGAGTTGTCCTGATCAGTGATGGTAAAGTTGACTGTTGAGATTTGTAGATCAGTTCCCCATTCACAAATTAAATTAATATCATTATATGATTCCCTTTAATCAACTGAATCTGCCTTGCTATGTTTTACATTTACATACAATCTCCACATATAGAGACAAAGTCCCCAGTCTGCAACCCACAGAACCTCTTATTGCTAGACACCACGGGGCAGCCCCAGAGATGCCATGTCCATGGCCTAACAGGTCAGAGCTGATTTGGTGAGCTGATGGGCACCTGCGCAATGTTAATGTGTGGCAGTCTGAACATAATGTGTAGCCTATATATGACCAAAACCATCTGCCAGTGTTAACAGACCAGAAGGGCCCATTCAAGGGATCAAGACAAACGGCCAGCTGCCTGGCAGTGGTCCTCTTACTCGTTCTGCAGTCCTGGCAGAAAGACTGAGGATTGTATTGCTGCCATTTTGGATCTTACTGAGTATGAGTCAGGCCAGCAGCCTGCTGTTGTCTGAGAGTGACAGAGAAAAGATGTCACAGCTCAGCACCACAGCCCAGAGACCCAGACATCTTGCTCAATGCGATCTGTCACTCATTGTCGGGAGTGACATCCTGAAACCTGACAATTGGGTGTCTTAACACTTTAGGCCAAAAACTAGCAGTCCTACCTGCTGTAAGTTACCTGCTTTGGTAGTAGAGCGTCTTTCGAAATACATGATTTTTTTTATTTACATTGAGTTTGATGTGAAACATCATTGAAAGACATAATGTTATTGGTCAAAAGTGGTTGCTTATATACACATTAAATGAGAATTTTCCAGTTTTTCCTTGTTTATCAGAACACAGTATCCATGATGGAGGAACACTACAAATATACTGGAGAATATCATCATGTATTTCTTCCATGGAAAACAAATACTACTTCACATTTACTGCCACAAAGAAGAAAGGAGGTATTGTTGTATCTTTAGGCTCGACTGCAGTGCGGATGGTCTGCTCCTGCCGTTAGCAGTGCACATGCCTGAGGCTGCGGGTGTTTGGAGAACGCAGAAATGTGCTGCACAGTGTGTGGGAGGCTTTTGCAGTGTGCATGATGCAGCACACGGCTACTGGCTGCATAGACAATTTAGGCTGTTATGTCTTGTTTACTTTAAAAAGCTTATATCCTTCCTTCAGGGAACAGTTTAGCAGTCAATGGTATGCATAGTGGCTTGCAGCAAACAGTGCCCATCCAATATCAAATAAAGGTCCTTTTCTGACGTCATCATTACAGGAGGAGACGCTTGCATTTTCTCTCAGTTTTCAACACAAAAACAGCCAGAGTTTTATGTAAATGCATTTTCTTCTGTGCACCACTTGGTTGTGGTGAGAGGTGTCTGTAAGATTTCTGCCATTGAAACACAACATGTAACTGAAAACAGCTTGCACATGTGTGGATTGGAGCAAATCAGACATAATAAAGTCCAAGTGACCCAACCCAAAACATCTGACTACACGTCAACTGGGGAAATATCTCACTCTGGCAGCCACAAGATATGGCCTGATATAAGGGTGGGGCCTACCAGCGGCCAGTTTTTAACACAGCTAAAAAGAGAGCAACAACTCCAGATCCCTGCCTCAGTTTACACTGCAGTCACAGTTTAGCTGAAGGTCCAGTGAGACCGTCCTGTGTCTGAATGGCAAGCATGAGGCCACTGAAAGCTTTATGAAGTCATAGGTGCAAATAATAAATAAAGAGAAATGAAGCAGCAAAAAGGAAACTGGGGAGAGCAAATTGGGCGTGTGTTGTGAAAATCTCTTGAGTATGACGTAATTTTCCATTTCAGCGTCCCATTTTCCATAAAGGAAAAAAGGCACAATTCACTGTAAAAAACACTACATTTTTTTCAGTGTAGCCGTTCTCCCAGATGTTAACAGCGAAGCATATACAGACTGGCTGTTATTTAGCACTTTTCTACTGTATTTGAGCACTCAAAGAAACTCAGGGTTCAGTATCTCACCCAAGACGTTTTTTGACATGTAGACTGTAGCAGCCTGGGATCAAACCACCAATCTTTCAATGAGCAGTGGATCTGCTCCACCTTCTGAGATACTAATGTCTCCTCTGTGGTTACCCAAACACTGTACATGCTTCCATGAAACAAGTATTTAGGACTAGTTAGCTAGCCTGTTGGCATGTAAAGATAGTATGGTGAGGTAGTTCTTAAAAAGTAACAAATAAACAGCACTTAAAGACTAAATTCTGAATACCAGGAAGACTTTGGACCTAGCAGCTGTTGCTGGTTACTAACAATAGCTAGTAGCTAGGTATTTTCAGGGTAATATGAACACAACAGGACAGAAAATGTATTTTGAAAATGCTAAAGGTGAAGTGTGAAGATCCTTGTTACGTTCCCCTGAGGGGTCTAGGCGGGGAGGGGGAAGTAACAAAAGTGACCGGGTCAGAAAAAGGAGTCAGGGAGGCAAAACAGTTAAATAAAACAGTTTTATTGAAGTAATTCAACTAAAGGAGACGGACAAGCCGTTATCACCATAAAACACCAACAAACAAAACTCAGGCGTCGGTCAGTAAGGCAAAAAGTCAAAAGGAAAGCGCAGCTCACTAGCTGGAAACACCACAATACACAGCTCACTAGCTGGGAACCACAAGACACTCAGCTCACTAGCTGGGAACCCACAAGACACTCAGCTCACTAGCTGGGAACCCCACAAGACACTCAGCTCACTAGCTGGGAACCCCACAAGACACTCAGCTCACTAGCTGGAACCCCACAAGACACTCAGCTCACTAGCTGGGAACCCCACAAGACACTCAGCTCACTAGCTGGGAACCCCACAAGACACTCAGCTCA